GGGGTTGTGACTGCAGAAATGGTTGTCTTAAGGTTACTTGTATTTCAGAGGAGGCAGTATGGTTCATAAAGCAGATGGCACAGGAAGGATTGCTCAGGGAAAGTTCAGACTTAGTAAAATCTCAAAAATCAGATTAAGAAGACAGATGGGATTCTGGATTGAAATGCTAACATGTAAGGTGGTTTTTGTCTTTTTTTTTTTTATGTCACTTTCCCAAATTATAACCGTGGAGATGCTGCGGGGTTTTATATAGCTGGCAATGATTTTAGTGCTAGGAAACAGGGAGAGAGTTACACTTAAAGCAGCTGTTTTCACTGTAACTGGTAGTTTTGGTTGTGCTCGTTTGAAAAAGTAGTAAGATGTGATTGCTGAAAGAAGACAAAGGAATATAACTATAAGAAAAGACATTTAGGCTAGACTTACTTGCTTGGGCATATGCCTACAGCAACCTTGATCTCTTTGTGGAATGTAACCCTGTATTTGCTGTTTTCCCACTAGCCTCCTTTTCCCATTTCTCTTTGGGATTCTTGAAGCAGAGTTGCAGGGTTTCACGGTTCGGTATTGGTGAGTGGCCTATTCCTAGCTGCACTTCTAGACAGGGGCACACAGTCTTTTTGCCCATCCAGACAGGATATCCCTGCCTGTGCTTTATCTCCTGGAATTGAACAGTTATAAGTAGCTATTGCTTTGGACACAAAACATTCCTGTAGGAATATAATGGCAGGGCATGTGTTGGAGGTGCAGGCAAATTACTCTGGCTCTACCTGTGCCCGCCTGCCTTGTGCTGCAAGCTGACAGGGAGCCACGAGCCAGACAGCCCAGGTCTGAAAGAGTCACATTCACATCGCACTGGTCAGGAGCCAGGTATATTAGACAGGGCTATCGGCCCAGGCATAGCCTGTCCTGATTGTGGCTGTGGTCTGTCTGGGGAGGGGAGAGAGACCACAGCTGCCCTGGGTGAATTCATCAGCCTGGGGTCGGTCACCTCAGCCCTCTCCGCTTTGCTCTGCGGTGAGGAAACATCAGCCCTATGCACCTTTGTGTTCCCTTCCTTCCTCCAGGACCTCTAGTAGCACAGAGCAAAGCTCTTTCAGAACTTAGTAGTTGAGTAGTCCTGCTGTAGTTAATAACAGAAAGCACAAGTGTCACAAATCTGTGGAAGAATGAAGTGTGCTTCTCTTCAGTGTTCTCGGCGTTTGTCTTCTGCAGTGCTTTCGGTTCCCTACCTCCATCGTGGTCCCCGCTTGCCGCAGATGTCTTTCCTTCTCTGAGTCCGTGTGTCTTCAATTCGGTGTGAGCTCCTTGCTGTGGTAGGCTGTAAAACTCAAGAATAACGTATCTGCTTTATCCCCACTGTTTTGCTGAGAGTACCAACTAAAAGGTTTGCCGGATACTTTAAAGACTCTATTCCATAGCTAATAACAAATCTTCTAAGCAGCTTTTCCTAATTAAATACTTCTTTTAGTACACCTAATGCTTCGGTCTAAGACCTCCCTATTAATTTGAGGGCAGACTGATCTTGGATCATTTGCTGTCCTTACTTTGCTCTCTCCCTTCTTCAGTCCTCCTGTTCTTCAAGAAGTGCCTGAATATCTCCTAACAATTCTGAAACTTACTGTATAGCTTTAAGTTTTCATAGTAGTCTCTCCTTACAGATTGTTCTCATCACTCTCCTTGTTTGAGAGGAGGTTTTCTTTTGCAATTTCTCTCCAGTTTAAAGCTTGTAATCATTCTGTTGCTGTGGAAATTACTGTGATAATGCAGGTTTAGTGTTCATGATTTCACTGCTGCATTAGATAACAAGAAAAAGGAGCTGTTGCGTGGGAGAAAGCCCTGAATTAAGCAAGTTGTATACATTTCACACGCATGTCAGGGAAGATAACACCTGAAAAGGAATTAGGGTTGTTCAGGCTGCTTGGATTTTCTCCATCTCAGGAAAAAAACCAAGTCTAAATATTAAAAAGGAAGAGACAAAAAGCCCAGTGTCTGATCTAGGGACTGTGGTTTGGAACAGCAGTTCCAGTCTGTTGCCTTTCAGGACATCAGTCTTCCATCTTGGGTGACGCCCTTTGTCGTTGCCGTTTGGAAACCCTTATCCTTCCTTATCAGAAAGAAGGATGCAGACAGAAGCCCTTATATAGCCATATAGAAGGATAAAGGAATTTCCTACTGGAGATAACCCATGGCTAGCTCTCTTGTTTGGGAAGAGAGTGCTGGATTTGTGCATATAGGAAAATTTTTGTTTATCAGTCTTTGTCTCTTGATGAATTTTAGTAGTAGTCTCTATTCTAGAATTTGGGATGTCTATAAGGAATTAAATAGATTGGATACTTCTGTTGTTTTCTTATCCTCTTCCTTGATTAGTATTTAATATTCCAGAACTCCTTGGTTCCTTCTTATATGTGGTTGGTTTAGAAAAGGCTAAACTTTCATGTTACTGAAATTGCTAACCACAATGTTCAGCTTGTCCTGTTTCTTTGCTTTGCCTTTAATGCTTGACCCATTATTCTTAACCGCATCTGTTCTTCAGCATTCTTTGCTAGGCGATTCAAAGTGGGAAACAGCACAGCTATCTGGCTTTGGATCTAAGCGCATTGTTCCTGCACATTTTGAAAATAAAAACTTACAGTGTTTTTGCCCTCGCGTTTGTAAATACATGTACAGTTTGTAAATACATAAATACATATGCGTTCCTCCTTTGATTAATGTGGCTGCCTTCCACATGCACAAGATTTCACAAGTTGCTTGGTGGTCAAGGCAAGGTTTCTAAGGAGGCATTCTGTACTTGCACACCAGAGTGTATGGGCACTGTTTTTCCATATACGTTGTTTTCTTTGACTACTAAATGCAAAACTGGGAACAAGTCCAGAATCTTTAATAGCTAGAATGTGTTTCATGCTGATCCCCTCTAAAAGGGCATCCTCCATTGCCAAGTTCTAAAGTGAGGGCTGCGATGATGATGAATTTCTCTAATGGGGTTTTAGTTCAGGGCTGCCTGATATTTGTATTTTCTGTACTGTAGGATTCAGGCAGAAGGTCTCCGCTTATAAAAGGGCCTGATATCTTTCTGGCTGAAATGCCTTTAGGGCAGAAGTGCTGATATTTTCATATTAGATCCTGACATCCTTTTAAAATTTTATATTGTTACATTATGTTTCTCAGCATACTGAGTTGTGTCATTTCATGTGTCATGTCATTTCACAACAGAGATTTTGCCAAGTTCTTCGTTGTTCTCGTTGTTAGGTCTTGCTGGCTCAGGGCTTCCACCAAAATAAGTTCTTAAAATCCTAACACACAGTAGTGATATAACAGAACTGTAGCACCAGTACTGTTCTCTAGAAATCAGTGTATTGTTTTTCAGTATGTATGAAAAGGAGGTCATGCTGTCTTTTCTGGGCAGCACATGAAGAAATGAGCTGCATGTGGAGTGCGAGCATCTTGCTTGTTAGCAGCTGAATTCCCCTGACACAAAAAGGGAGTTTGCAAAATACCGTCTACTACCTTGGGGAATGGAGTAAGCTGAGGTAAGGGACTTCATGCAAGAACAACAGAATTTCCAAAGATGAGGGCAAGAATGAGAGAAAGGGGAGAGTGGGTGAGAAAAGAGGGAGGTGGGTACTCATTTAGGAGAACAAGGTGACTGTAAATGGAAAAAAAAAATCCAAGGAGTGGCTCAGTGGAGGCATTGGACCATTGTTGGGTCTTTTCAACACAACATTGCATTTAAGTCATGGTTACTGAAGAAAGGCAACAGCTGCTACTTTAGAGCATGAGGCAGAGGAAACTGTTGGAGGGGCAGAAAAATAATCGTAGATATAGAGGAATGCCTTCCAGAGGGACTGTCTTGCACAAGCCACTCCACTTTACGTAACAAAAGCCTGGTGACACAATGCATGGTTTAGTCATAGAAGTGCCCCGGAGTGGACAAATATTGTGCATCTGGAAACATTTAAACAAGTAATTAGTTTCTGGAAAAATGGCAAATTACTCAAGGAAAATGTAGTCCATTGTGTTAGCTTCTGACTGCATGTCTACAAGATGCATGATTCTCCTGACTGCCTTAACCCATTGCTGCTTTGCTTCTCATACCCACCGGCTGTTTGTGGGGACAGGTCATAGGGTGGTGTCAGGGCTGACAAGCAGATATCACTAGGGGCTGTGACATTTTTGCCCCTTTGGAAAAAGGGCCAGTGAACAGGGAGGCGGGGGGGAAGTATTCCCCTCTTCCTCACTGCTGGCATTTTGCATCCCACCTGGTCGTCCTGTGCTTTGAGGACAAGGACCTGATCCTGTGGGATTTCACCATCTTGGTTAACCATTGCCAGGGAAGTCCTGTGCCAGCTGGGGCAATCTGGGATTCAAAATCTCCAACAGTAACACAGCCTGCTTCATTGCCCACTTTCTTCCTGGGCTTCTGTCACAGCAGATTTCCTCTGTTCTTTTGCTACACAAAGGGAGAAGTGTTTTGGGGAAGAGGCGGAGGAGCACAGCCCACTTCCAGACCTTTCCCTCTCCCCACTGCTGGTGGAGAAGGCTGGCTGGAGCAGAGGCACAGCAAGGCAGGGACCTTGCGGAGAGTTATGGTGCCATGCTATCCGTGACTAATACGTGATGTTTGATAGCACACATATTTAGAATTATGATGCTACTGTGAGATTGACATGTTGCCCATCAAAGGGAATATTGCCTGCCCCTGGCAATGTGCTGCCCAGCTTGCATGCAGATCATAGGTGAAATATAGGTGCCTCCACAGCTGGAGTTAGTGGTAGGGCAATAATTCAGGACCTGGTCTGGCTTGTGGCAGAATCTGCAGTGTCTCTGAAGAGTGACTGCCAGAAATGGAGGACTGCAGGCCAGGACAAGAGGTCCTGGCACCAAAGTGTCAGAGATTAGTACTGAGCCCCATGTCTTTTTGGTCATTGGTGTGCAAGGATGTTTTAACTGCTGCCTCCTGCAGAAGCTTTTCGGACGGTAATTGCTGTGGTTGTTTGTCATTACAGAAGTAACGCTGAAGGTCCATGTAAGCGATGCCAGCACACATCAGCCAGTAACTGAAGCCTTCATTGAGATTTTTACCAACCAGATCTCCATTGCATCTGGAACCTCAGGAGCAGATGGCACTGCCTTCCTCAAGTTTCAGTATAAGTTGGGCAATCAGCTGATAGTGACTGCTAGTAAACATGCCTATGTGCCAAATTCTGCACCATGGAAACCTGTAAGATTGCCTGGTAAGAGATCTTTATTTTTGTTCTGAGGTAAGATTTTGCATCTAAAGGAAGTTACATGGTTTTGTGTGATGTGTTTTAATGCTTGGGATCCTGGGTGGGAGAAGGAACATCTGTGTGTTTCAAAACCAGCAAGGTTTCTTCCTCAGTTAAACTGTGGCACCAGGGCTATGCAGGGATCCGCTCTCCTCCTGGCTGTCCTTGATACAGTGCTATGTCAGTTTTCAAACAACTTGTTGGTGCTCTTACAGCTCCACAGAAAATACAAATCTATTCCAGATCTTTTTCTTTATGGGAACTCTGTTTCCAAGTGCTTTGTTTCAGTAGCTGTGGTATACTCATTCGTTTCTCTCCCAAGGTGTAGCAACAACTGTTGCACCGTAGGCTGTGGTTTACAAAAAAAGTCCTGGCCTTTCAGTTCTTGGCCATGTCCGTAGGACGGTTTTAGTCTGCAGTTACGTATCTAGATTTAAGGGTTTTTTTTCTAACTTAATTAGCATGGTTTGTTTCTTGCACAGACAAACAAATATAACAACAATACTTGCATGTTAGTTTTTGTCAGAATGCCTCAAATTTTTATGGGAAGTGGGAGACTTTACCTTAGTTGTACAGGAGGGGAAACTGAGCCATGAAGACTATTTCTGTACTGCTAAGTAGAACAGACTGAGGGTGGCTTTCAGACCTTGAGACATAACCTCTAGATGGTCACATCCCCAGTTTTCATCTGCCTTTCCTCTAACCCCCAGCCGCAATTAGGGTATGAGTAGTTTGGGAATAGTCCCAGACATGTACTATACCCAAATCACGCCTAAATATCACCGCAGATTTGATAATCAATCCAGGCCAAAGCCATGCCAGGTGTTAAGTGCCCTAATATTTAAATAGTATAAATGATCACAGGGCAGTGTTCAGTCCCATGCCTTGGCTCCATGTTATTTATTAATACCAACATAGCCAGAGGGACTGTGTGACTTGCCACAAGGTCAAGCAGCAAATGTATTTTCAGATGGGGAAAGGTACTTGAATCTCTTCAAACCCAGAATTATGCTTTAGGCATTTCAACATGCTGTTTACTTATCTACATTTGCTTGCTTCAGATTAGATTGACTTCTTCCACATTTCCTCTACTGTATTCTGCCACATTTTCCAGCTACTTAATGGAGCTATAGTGAAGACTAAGCCAGGCTCTTAGTTGCATAGTGAAAGAATAAGAAGCAACTGAAATGAGTTGCAGCAAGGAGAGTTTCAAATAAATAAAAGGGAACAATTCTTTACAGCGGCAGTAGTCAAAGGTTGGAACAGGTTGCCCAGAAAGGTTATGAAATCTCCCATCTCTAAAGATATTTGAAACTCAACTGGACACCCCCCCTGCTTGGTTGAAGCAGGTGACCTCCAGAAGTCCCTTCCAACCATAATTGTTCTGTGACTCTGTTTAGAAATTTCCTTGATGCTTTTTTCTATTTAAATAAGATAAAGTGCAGCTTCCTCAGCATACTTCATGTACTTCCTTAAGACACAAGCATATGATGAAAGCATGCAACAACCTTTTCTTGCCTGAACCCTTTCTTGCCTTGTGTCTCACATCTTTCTGACTCATAGCCTAGATCTTTTGAATGTGACCTACTCTTCCCTGGCCTGGAGTTTGTTTGGTTAGGTTTTTTGCTTGTTGCTTTTTTCTTAAATATTGATTTTGAGGGAAGGGAATCAAACAGGGCATTATTGTTTTCTTAAGTCATTGAAGTTTAAAGAGCAGTAATTGTATACAGTTTCCACAAAATCTTTCTTTCCACAGCTGAAATGAGAGCTTAATTCAGAAAATAGATTCCTTTCACCTCTGATCTTCCCCCGTTGAAACTGGTAGATAGTTTGCTATTGATTTAATTGGGAGTAGAATCCTTTCTTTGCTTTCTGTACCTTGAACTTAATCCTTTCTTTGATTAAAGAAACAAGTTACAACTTGATACGCCCCATGTAGATTTAATGGGGTTCTTCTTTGAATTACTCCTTAAAAGGGACATGACATAAAAGTTCAGGCCCAAGATACTTAGGCTGTTCATTTTTGTATTGACTGAGTTGCCTATAGTCTTGAAAAAACCTTCCAAGAACTCTTTGTATTTAAATGCCTACCGTGCTTGTAACCAGCACAGTATGTTTTGAAGTTTTGAAAACCATGAAAGTTTTGTTGTTGTTGTTGTTGTTACTTTTAATCTGGGTTGAATGATGGGGATCAGGCAGCATGTTTCAATCTTGATTCTGCAGTGTGCAGTCTGGGCACACGCGTACAAGCGGGATCCTTGTTTCCTGAAAATGCCTTTTAGCAGCACTAGTCGTTGTCACCCCCAGTTGCAGGTACGCCATTCTGAGCGGCGTTCCACCCGCCGCAGTGGTTTAAGGCAACGTGCCGTCCCGTGTGCTGTGGTAGATGGACTCTGGACACATTTACTTCAAATGTGGAAATGATAACCACGAGCAGGGAGCAGGTTTGAGAGCTATAGGATGGTGATACTTAAGGTGCTGTAACAGGACTTTGCCAAAGGGTCAGGATTCTTCCATCAAAGTCAATATGCATTAATTGTAATCTTATGCTGAAAAACTGTGCAGCCACCGAACCTGTGATATTATTGTAATAGCTTTAAGAAGTAAGCATCAAGGGTTCTCTGCTCTCATAATTTGGCAGAAATTAACTTTTCTTATATTAACCAAAGTAATTACTAGCTCTTTACCACTTAAGAAGGAGGATTATTTATTTACATAGTGATGAATGGTAGGAGGAAAAGATTAACATCTCTCTTTCCATTAAACTATTTATCAGCAGAGCCATGACTCCACTTATTAACAGTTCATTAATTTAACATCACTTGAGTTGTTGAAGTGTTCATGATGCAAGATGTGCTCATCTATCTGCTCTTAGCTACGCATAGAGTTTTCTTTGTAAATAATCTGGAAAGAAAAAAATTAATGACTGGTAGTCTGTATTTAAGAGGACGTTTTTGCAGCAGTGTGTGCAATGAAGAGAGGGAAGTTGCTGAGGCAGCGCAGTTCAGATTAGCTGGTAGGGTCAGTCAAAGCAACCCATGGTATTCACTGGGGTGGAATGTAGTTCTAGGAGCAGAGGATGCTCGTGGCATTTCTGGGAGAGGAGAGCTCATCTGGAAAGCAATGACTCTGCAGAAGATGTGTGAGTCATGGTAGATGAACAGTTGAAAATAACCTCCCAATGCAGCACTGCAAGAAAGCAGAAGAATCCAATCCTTAGCTGTAAAATAGGGTAAAGACTGAGAAGGCAGAGTATAGTATTTCAGAACTTGTCCTTGGTGCAGCCGCTCAGGGAAATGTGTGTGCAGTTCTGGATCCATGCTTCAAGAAAAATGTTTAAAACTGCAGGGTTGTATCAGGAGCGATTAAAAGATTGGAAAATACGGCTTACAGGGAAAGACTTGGAAGTGCTTAATTTATTTTGTTCACCAGAGAGAAAGTTGATGGGGTAATTTGAGCGTAGTCCATCAGTAACCCGCATAGAGAACAGGAAACGGGTAAGAGAGAATTCTTCTATCCAATGGGCTTCTATAAAAAGAAGATCAGATGGCTGGAAGTCTAACCTCAATAAATTTTGATGTGTAAAAAGGCACATAGTTTAACTGCCCTCATAATTATTTACTGGAACATTGATGTTGTGGTGTGTTCTTCACCACAGGGCACCTTTAAAAGAAAATTGGATAGTTTTTCTACAGCATGTTTTCTAGTTTAAGCACAGCTATCGGATCTGAAGCAGTAATTAATTCTGGGAAGGCTGTAGTTTTACGGGAGTAAGACTGGATCATCACAGTCATCCTTCTGGCCTTAAAAACTATGACTTTCTGCCTTTGTCACGCTGAGAAAAGATTGTGCAGAAAGCCCAAGGGAAGTTTAGGGGTTATATATGCATTATAGTCTGGCATATATGGAAGAAGATGTTGGCATAGTTTATTGTATTGAGCTCCCCGGGGTGTCTAAATTGTATTAGCTTTGTTCATACAAATTAAGTTATTGGAGTAAAGACAAACGAATTTTGTAATTGTGTGGCCTTAGTGCTACTTACACAAAGCTTTCTTACTCATGTTGCCTGATGTGTAGATCTGTTTCACATGTAGAGCATTGGGAAGAAAATTCTCAGCTGTACTTGCAATAACATGATTTTTAATTTTTTTTTTTTAATGTTCAAATATGTTGTCAAGACCATCTTTTAGATGGTGGTTCTTATCAGTATGTTTCTCCTAGTTTCTTCTCCTTTCTCCTGCATTTCTCCCAAACACCAAAATTTCCGATCTTTAAAAAGAAAATATATTTCTTAAAACAGAAACAGTGTACAGTAGTTGTAGCTAACATCTTTATGGTCTCTTGGATTAAGTAATACATATTAATTTAGAGGAAATTAATGAAGCTCCAGAAACTCAGAAGAGCTTGCACTGTTCTTTTATTAATAGGTTCTGGAAATGTCTTCCTTAGCTTGTGGTCACTTCAGAACGGGATGAGTACTTTCCAGGTGCAAATGTGGGATGCTGCCCAGTTACCAAAAATTATTAGCCCTGCATTAATCTCCTCCTCTCCTTCCATCTTTGAAGGCCATGCAACGACTGCAGGGAGGTCTACTTCTTACTGCTTTCATGGGTGCGGGAGTCAGTTGTGCTCGGTGGCCAATTCCATACATATTTCTGGTCTTCTGGGTCTGAAGAACTTAGCATGAAATTACATCGTGTTCTTCATTCTCCAAAGACGGGTGTGCATAGAGACACAGCCCCCTGTAAGGAATGTCAGTACCCAGGGGCAAAAGAGGTCCTTGCAGGCAGATTTCTTGCAGCAAATACCACTTATCTGTCCCCTTTTGCACCACTGGTAGAATGACAGTAGTTCCGCTATATATGGCACTTCTGTAGTGTAGGTGGTGACTCAGTAAGGACACGCTGTATTTGAAAGCAAATCTTTAAGACCTATTTATCATACTTTGCCTTTCTATATGACTTTTTATGTAAGCATCTCAAAGTATTTAAAAGTTGTTTCATTAAAGTCTTCCCAAGGTAAGAAGTGTAGTCATTTCACAGAAAAATAATTCAGTCAGACTGAGTTAGTGTTTCACTCCTCTATGGAATGACAAGTCTTTCTGTGGAACTGGGAATTATAACCCGAAACCCTGCTTTACACTGCACTCTTCTGTACTTTGAGCTACCATGCATGACTTGCAAGAGTCAAAGCACAGAACATGTTGTTTAGTTCAATAATAATTACCCTGGAAATTTAATTATTTGGTCTAGAAAATGGACGTGGTTTCTGTCATGTATATGATGTGATTTTAATAGTTTGGGTGGCCTGCTTTTGCAAAAATGTAGAAGAAAGTAAGTGCTGTTGTTGTTGGGTTATAAGAATTCAAATATATCCCGCTTAAACCACTTCTCTCCCACAGTGTTCTCTTCACTGAGTCTCGGCCTTCTTCCTGAACGCTCAGCTACTCTAATGGTCTATGATGATGTAGTCCAAATAGTCTCAGGATTTCAAGGTATGCTGGTTTTTGGGAGTTGGAATTGAAATTTGAGTGACACTAAACAAAAAGCCTGGCAGCCCGATACTTTCTGAACTCTATCCCGTGGGTGAGACTGGTATCTCGTGGGGAGTTCTTGTGAATTCCCCGAGGAATGCTGCTCTGTGGGATGGTTTTACCAAATTGTTTAATAGCTAAATTCATCCCTAAGTGCTGTGACTAGGGAATTCGAATTACTTGGTAATAAACAAGTTTGGACTTTAGTGTGCCATTTGAGAGCTAGAGATTAAATTTCTTTCGCTAGCTGTTGGATTTTTTTCATCTAGATTCATTTAACCATCCTTGCAGTAAACATTTTTTGATGTTCTTATTGTCTTAAGAATTTTCTCTGGTTTTATTTTGTTTCTTGCTTCCTACTGTGAATGTCTTAGAAATTTAGGGCATAGAAAAATTGAAGATTTCTCATACCTGCATTGTCGTATGCCCTATATAAACTTGCTTTTCTTAAGTACTTCCTGTGGACCCCTCATCAGATTGCTGCAAACCCACATACTACAGGATGAAACCCACTGTATTAGAAGACTAAAGTTTGAAACACCTTTTCATAAGGCCAAACACAGAAGTTAAAGCAACTGTAGTATCAGTCAGATGAGCACTGTGTTTTCTCAGTTGTGCGGTAAAGAATAAAATGTTCATCTGACCTAGGGATCTGACCTAACTTAGCCCAATTGATGTGAAGTAAGTCTGTTAACAAAAGAACGGAAGTTTTTCAAGATACCTTGACGAGCCAAAACAAGGGGACATCCTTCCTGTGGCCATTTTTATTGCGCATAAACTGTGTCTTATTCATGTGTATTATGTTTACCATCATTTTAAACTCTACCAGATAGTTAATAAACAGGGGAATACTACTTTCAATAATATTCCAAGATAACCTTGTTTCATCTGAGGGAATATAATACTATTATGCCTTCCTGACATCTTTTTTTAAGGTTAGAAACCATCCAGACACAATAGGCTTTTCATTAATGGTAGCACTAGATATGACTGGAGCTGAAAAAGCACTAAAGAAATTAGATAGCTGATAGAACGCTCAGGAGGAGCTGGAGAGTGGCACAGCTGCCGTACGTAGATTCTGCAATTTGAGAGCTGACATTATCTAATGGGGTAAATTAGATGGACAATGAACTGTGTTAAACCACAAGGGATTCCATTAGACAAAACATAAAATGTTGTTTACCAACAGTATTCTACTAGCGTGGTATATTAAATACTCTTATACTTATGCAAATGTGCTAATATTATGCAGTTAACGTAAAAAGAACAATCTTTTCATGTTTACAGCTTCCTTTCTTAAAAAATGGAGGATGTTAAAGGGCTAGAGGGACATTTAGCAGCCAAATGATGCTCGTAAATATTTTCCACATAATCTTGCTCCCTTCAGTGAATTGATCCAGGGTGTTCCCAATATACTTAAATTAGAATAATATATCTGATTCTGCTGGTATAGCAGAGAAGGAGGAAAAAGGAAGAAAGTGGTACCTGGAGATTTGAACTCTCAGTCTTGCCCAGTAAAAACTATTTTACACTCCTTTTCTTGGGAATTCTCTTGTGATGAAACCTAAATGAAAGACAGCCTAGACATTGTACCAGCATTTGAATGGAGCCTCTCTAGTCTCGATCCAAAATCCTTGTGACCTAGTTTTTTTCTGTTACTTCTCCAATGTATTTCCCAGTAACTCCACGCTGCTTCAAAAGAGCTGATCAGGAGCTACCTTAGTGCAAAACTGAGAGCAAAACAGAACTCATTATACCAGGAACAAACTGGGAACACTGGTTTTTGAAGCACCAGTCAAAGGGAAAGAAAGGCCTGTCTTGTACAATAAGTTACCAGTTGCTTTTGAATAATTAATCAAGCAAGCAACTTATTATGCAATTGAGAAGTTTTCTGGGCTGATGCAGCCAACTTCATTTTCATGATGGCATTACAGTCCGCTGCTGTGCTCTGTCAGTAATTGCGAGGGAGGGAGCTTGCCAGCCACTGGGTCATTTAAGTTATTTAATACCGGCATGGTGACGAGCTGAGCTTCAGCATTCAGTGAATGGGAGCTGTAAGGGTACCCTCTATCTGCCTCTGACATATTGAGCAATCAGAGCATGAACTTATGATACTTCAGATGTTACTTCACAAAGACTGAAGCTCAAATGCCGGTGTGGTGCCACGTGTCGTGCATCCAGCGTGACAAGAGGTGCCTTGCAGGGACTCCTTGAGGTGGTTACCTCTTCAGGTGTGCACTGGCAAACCGGAGCTGACAGCATTTGCATCCAGGCCGGTGTGTTGACAAGAGGATGTTTAAAGGAGATAAGATCAGTGCTCATCAGTCCTTTGCCAAATGGAGGGAGCTCACATGCCAGTTTTATACTGAATGTGTTTGGGTATTATAAGTCAAAACTAGGTATCTTCAGTAATAGAAGCAATAATAATAATCCACTCCCAATAGTAAGTGTTGACTTGTTGAAAAATGCTCTAAGAGTCTGGTCAGCACAAGTCTTTCTCTCCATTTTACTGCTTCCAGTTCCCTCAGTAAGTCTATTCCCAAACATTTGCCCCCAAATCCTCTATGACCTCTGCTAAAGGAGTACATTGGATTATCTTCTAGCAAGGTGGTGAGAGAAGGTGAAAGCCTTGGTAGCTGCTTCCCTCACAAGCCTTTTGCTGGTAGCTCTCAGTCTTCTGACCCTTTGAAGTCTCTTGCCGGGTTTGGGGAGACCCAACTGAGGAGCCAAGGGGAGAGTCGGGGTGAGTGGCAGGTTTCGGGTTAATATCAGTATCAAGGAGTTTGTTAATCTAGGGTGTGAATTAACTGCTCTGCACTGATTTATTGTATGTATATGCACTATCTGTAGAGGAAGCTGTTTCTTCCACCTTAAAGCTTGCATCTGAGTTGATTGCTGCCAGGTTTCCTGCCAGGTTTGGGGCTCAGCCATGGCGCTTTGTGTTGCCTGTAAGATTCAAGGAACCAAGATTGGCTTTCTGAGTCATCCCCAACTAGTTAAAATTTAGCAGCTCCTGGCTCTCCTCGTGCTACAAAACAACCATATTTTAATAGAAAACCCCAGAACCTCCACATAAACCACTGTGTTACAGACTCAACAGCAGTTACTTTGTTTTCAATTCTTAATTAGTTCTGCTCTTGGAAAATACAATACCAGTTCTTGGCAACTCGAATAATTCATCTTAACCAGAGATTTAGACAGCAGAAAATCCTACAATTTTACATTGAACCGTTAATGATAATCCTAATGCCAGTTTCTTTGTTGTGGGATTTTTTTTTCTGTTTTGTTACTGTGGATGCTTATCCCTAGGGGGCCGTAGGAGCCTGCTCAGCAGCGCAGTCAGAGGTTCCCAAGTACTTGAGCAGATCTGTCCCTGAGGTACAGCAAACTACTATGGTATTGCAGAGCACTCGGGAGAGAAGTCTTCTCCAAGTTCATTGCAGTCAGTTTATTTAGTTTTTTATGTTGTTTTCCATTTAAGCCTAGAAATTGGGTGAGGGAGATTTCTTCCCATTTCACATGGGGTGTTGTGGAATGACTATCTTAAATGCCTAAGGATACTGCCAGTCTTGAGTGCCTGCCGTAAATACTTAAATGTTTCAGAAATTAAAGAAGAAAAGTGGGTTTTTAGCTTTTTCTTGCAGAATTACCAAAGATATGACAGCTAAACAATTACCAGCTCTTTGGAGATACTTGCCCACCTACATAGCAATTTTTGTTGGCCAATCCAAAGTTTGTTCTGTGGAATTTTATGTTTTCACATAGCTAGAGCTCCTGCTAGAAAATAATGCAAGAAAAAGATTCCAGTCTCCTGGTTAATGACATTGGCAGTTACAAAGCTTAGGAGTTGTGAGTCAAGCTCTTTAATCTTTCTCACAGTGAAGTTACATGTAACCTAAAAGTGCTGCCAGAGACTAATAGCGGAAAAGAAGCAAAACGGTTTTGAGTTGACATCTTTGAACCGCATAGTTAAATGTGAATTAAGAGAAAAAAACTGCTTGCCTCTTGATTTTGTGCTGCGTGGGGAGTGTTCTGTGAGTATTCAAAATGAGCTCTGGAGAATACAATAGCTTTTGATTTAAAAATTAATTTGCATGTTGCACACACAAACTCGCAGATGGGATCTTGCTGTGTGTTGCTAAACAGTATTAATAGCGAGCTTCCATTGAAGAAGACTATTGACTTTATAAACTGGGATTAAAATGAGACATGAAATGCAATACTACATGACACAGTCTTAAATCATGTTGCAGCAAAGACCCTTCAATTAACACCTAGTGATCTTAAAAAAAACACTAAAACTGTACAAGACAGAGGAAAAGAGAGAAATCTTACATGCCAAGTAATCTGGTTCTGTTTAGATGTGTTCTTTGCATGGGAAAATATGGAAACTCTTCTCACACAGGCGTTGTCAAGTGTATCTTTTTGTCCAGTGGTTTAAATAAAAAGTGACTATTATCTCAGTACTAGAGATAGTTAATGTGGCCAAAGCTTGGTAAAAATTAAATACAGGAATTACACAAGTCAATTGGGACTACAGGTAGAATTGTAGTCTCTTAGAAAATCAGTTCAAAGAGTTTAAGCTAAATTTATCTTGCTATTTCAAAAAACCCCAAAATTTAAACAAAAACAGCAAAATGGACGCTTTTCTAAGCTGTCACATGCCCTGCCTCTGAACTCAGTTTTAGTTTCAGTTATACTTACTATAAGAAGTGTGTACTGAAATTTGAGGTGGATCCTGGGAAACAATGTGGTCAGAAAAGCTTCTAACATTAGATGCTTTACAACTTTGCTCAGTGATACTTGTGGAAAAATAATGGCAACTGCAAAATACATGTAAAAATACTGCTTTTCCTCTTTTGTAGTAGCCTTCTGATGTCTCTGTCCTTCTCAAGCTATTTCAATTTATGATGAAAAAAACTGTAAATGTGCTTCCATAAATATGAACACCTAAATATTCTGCCTGCCTTGGATATAAAGTCACTTCTAATTTTTTTAGGTGCACGGACTCAGCCACAAGTTCACTTTCAGAGACGATCTGTGAAATTACCAGAGAACACTAGCTACAGCGATTTGACAGCATATCTGACTGCAGCCAGTTCACCCTGGGAAGTGGACAGCTTTCCTTATTTGCAGGGATTAGATGGAAATGGAACAGGTAACCCACTACTTTGGTTTTGCTCTGATTTCATTTTGGTCCAGGGGCCAACTTTTGACAATACCATTTTTTTTCCATTCCCTGTTCCAGCAAACATTCTTTGAAGTTTGGATGATGTGATAGGTTCAGCTGCGCTACCAAAATGCTGTTCCCATAAACAAGAGAGCAAGGTCCGCTATCCCTTAAATGACGCCACTGAATAGCAAAGACGAAGCCTCCTTGGCCTTGGGAGATCAGAAAAGTTTGTTACACTTGTAGTTTGGAGTTAAGTCTCCAAATGTGTTGCATGTGCACATACAAAAATGGAGATAAATGTGAAGGGACAAAAGAAAATTTAACTTGAGGATGCTGTAAATTCTTGCTCAATTTTTTTCTAAAAATAAATAAAATGCCTATATATCAAGGGTTTAAGACCGTGTTGTTTCAGCTAAGAGTTGTTTCAGTGGCTTTGTTAATACTTTTGAATCTAGCTTCAGCCAAAAGCATGCAAATTCATTTAGCACCAAAGGCAAAACAATGAAAATTCGTAGTAGGAGCAGAACCACTGTTAAATTCAAAGCTGTAATACATTTTTATGACTGCAGCTGCCTATCACTCTTCTTCCCCTTCTCATTTAGTCTTGATTGAAATATTTGGTGTTGTGTAGGCTACAGAAAAATAGAAGAATTTGGCAGAGAAGTCTTCAAATTCTTAAAATGCTGCTATAGAAAGGAGAATAATATTTTCTCTGTGTCCATATTGGGTTAGAAAGCAAGCAGTAGACTTTGCAGTGCAGTGAGAGATTAGGATTAGGGATTCCTAGGGATTAGGAAAACCTTGCTATGGCGAGGGTAGTTTAAGCTGTAGAATCAATTGCTTGAGGGTGTTGGACAGAGTTAGACAAACACCTGCGAGAATGGCATAGGCGTAGCTGAGCCTGCCTTGAAGCAGGCTAAATAACCCCTTGAGGTTCCTCCCTGCTGTTTCTCAGGATGCATTTACTTGTGATGTGTTGATCTAGATGACTTTGAATGCCAGGTCATGTGTGTAGACATGTTTGCTAGCCTTTCCTTAAAAAAAAAGTCAAAATTAACATCCCTTCTCTTTGCACAAATCTGAATAGCTCCTTTTCTATTACATTTAGAAATGTCTCTGCTACCTTACTCCAATCCTTCTGTCTGCTCCAGTGAGTACATCTCATCCTATCTCATTCTCTCTCTCTCTGTCATTTCCCTATTCTCATCTTCAACCTTGAGTTTTCTCTGGCTCCTCATACTTAGACATGATCAAATATCTTACCTTTTTTAAAAGAAAGGAATGCACTTGATCTCATTCATCTGTCTGCTTCCTCATCTCCTTTCTTTTTATCTCTGAACCAACTGAACTAACCATTGACGTGTGTGGGATTCCTCTCCCAAGTCTTTCCTTCGTACTCTGCAACCCAACTTCCCACCCTTGCATTTATTTAGTGAAAACAGGTCTTGCCAAGACTTCAGATGATTACCTGTCATGCGAACTAGACAACCAGAACATAGTCTTGCTCCTGTTTTACCTTCTAGCCTCCTGCCAAACAGATGAACGCACCCTTGGTTTTTTAGTCTTCTGTATGTTTGCATGATGGAAACTTCTCTACTAGAGCATGGGGGCCTTGGATTTGACTTTTACTAGCTTTCAAGTAAAAGTATGTCACAAAAGACCAAAATAACTGGCAAAGAAATGGAGTTTAAGAGACTGAGAAGAGCCTTGTTTCCTGAATACTGTAGTATTCAGTATGGTATAATACAGACTACAAATAACAATATATATTGGTATGTGCACTATAGTATAGATGAAGTGTCCTCTATTTTTAGTAGAAGTTTCTCCTGGTGTGGAAAACATTAACCTTTAAAATCCTAAACTTGGACTGACTTCCTTTTCTTCATCTCCAAGCAACTTGGTGAAGATTTCACCTGAAAAACTTTTTAAGGAATAAAAATGAGATCATCACCTGCTGGGGATTTTTTAGTATTTCTGTTCTCAAGAGAAAAAGAAAAATACGTACAAATTTTAGAATTCTGAAAAGACTTAGCCTTAATTTTCATGGGAAATTTTGGAGTGTCCCTGAACACTGCCCCTTCTCCTCTCTCTCCCACCTCTCCTTCCTCCCAGTTACTCTTCGATGCTTTCACAGTTTATTTACATGTGTGTAGAGTTTTGGAGAGGTCCTCCCAGTTGTTTCAGTCAGCTCAGTTCTCTGGCTGGTATTTATTCAGAGCGACTTTACAGTTGTTTTAACTGAAACCTATCCTCCGTGAGTTCAACAGTTTTCATAAAATCCCAATTGGGTGCTGAAGTAGTAATATGGAGCAGTGAAAATTCATTGCATGAATCAGCATGTTCCAAACATAAAAATTCAAAGAATTCAGTTGCAAGTAGTGACAAGCCTGTATAGTGTTAGCTAATTGTTTGTATTAAACACCAGTTGGAGAGCAGTAGGATGATTTCACAAAATCTTATCCTTTTACCCAAACTAAGCAAAACTTTAATCTGCAGTAATGAACCAAGGTGGCTAATAACCATTACCCCTGCTGGTTTTGTAGGCTGGCTGTTTCTTTATGAACAGTCAAGCCTAAGTCACAGTGGATTTTCCTCTGATTATTTTTAGAGCTCTTCACAGGTCACCAGATGTCAAAAATGACAAGAAATAAATGAAAGCTGACATTTATTGAAGTCCATTCCTCCATTCCCATTTAATCTGTGTGTGTGCTTATCAGTTTTATAGCATGCAAGAGTTTCATAAGCATTGATTTTAATTTGCCTTCACAACAGAAAAGAGATAAATTTATCTTTTTAATGAGCATTTACATACCGTGCAAGATGGCAAACTGAAGGATTATTTCTTTTTGCCAGAGGTCAGTGGGTTTCAGAAATTTCTTCATCTTCCAATGTAACTTGTTCAGCCCAGTACTGAGCAAAGCATCAGTGCATCTTAAGTAAAAAAGGTGCAATGTTTCACCATCAGAATGCTTTTCTGGGTCTGAAAACTCATTTTTACAGATGTTAGACAGATATGCTTTATCAAGACAGTAATGAAAGAAAAATTCAGATTTTTCAATATCTAAAAATAAATAAAATATAAAACATAATTTCATCTTGGATATTAATCTAAATGTTTCTAAAATCTTAAGTTAGACCTTTTGTCATTAGGAATTTCTATATGCCAGAATGTGGTGCCCAAGCCCAGTGACCTGGGGACAAGCATCAATCCGATGGAAGTTATGGGCGCGTGGCAGAGGCAGCAGACTGAACGATCAGGAATAAAGGAGCAACTTTTTCCCCACCAATTCCCTCCTCCATCTCTCTGTTTTATATTCTAAGGCTCTAAGGGGATGATACTGTGCGCCACTGGAGCCTGTAATACAAATGCTTGGGTAGGCTGGCAACCTTCTCCAACGCCCTAGCTGAATTTCCAAACCTTATTTTTCTGTTTTTTCTCTCAGTTAGCTCTGTGGCTCTTTTATATAGCCATCTGCGGAGGGCCTGTTTTCTCAGCACTTTAATCCCTCTGGAAGATACGCTTCTGCCCCTCAGTTCACGGGAGATGAAAGCAGGGTGTATGCCCTTGCCTGCGCTTTCATCCACCCTTGGCCTGTCAGCTGTGCTGCAACAGCGACACTCGCCTTGAAATCCAGGAAAAATGTGCGTCAGAGTAGATACTGTAGTAAATAAGCCCCATGCAAAGGTAATTCTGGTTATTTTCCATGTCTTCAGTTTGGCACCTCTTGCAAAATCCAAATAATTTAAAATTCTGAAGAGTTTGTCTCCTTTTTCCCTTCTCCTTGCCACCTCCTTTCCTGGTGATGTCTTAACTTTGGTGAGCTGTTACTCAGAGACTTCGAGTTTAATAAAGGACATTCCTTGAGATCTACTCACTGTTAAGAGAAATCATAAAGGTCTTAATGCTTTCCCACCTTTCCCTCAAGTGTACTCCTCCTGATGAACACTGGTGCTGAGATACTGCGGGTTCCTGGGGACCCCTTGCTGTGCCTTGGTGTCGCAGGTGGCATGCACGTGCAGGCTGGCTGCAAATGTGCTTTTACAGGCAGCTTGTGCTGGCGTAAGGCACCAGGATTGCAGGAGGGGCAGCACCCCGTGCGCTGCCAGCCAGGCACCCCTGTTCCTGTGCTCAGATTAGCCCTGTAGCAGGACGAGCGGCTGCGCGATGCCCACAGCCGGCACGAGGGAGGCGACAGGACTGCTGCTCTTGGCAGCAGCATGGACCCGGCTGGCTCAAGCCCCTTGCAAAACTGGAAGCTCCATCTCTTTCAATTTAAGCCGCTACTGCTATTGCTTTGAGCTCCAGATCTCCTTGGTTTTAAACCTCAAGCTTTTTTTCCCCTGAATGCATATGTATCCCTGTGGTATTTTTCCCTGTTATTGATTCATTTGGTTAAATGGTTGAAGGGTTATAATGCTTTTTTAAATTGTGTTGTCCATTGGCATGCAGTTTAAGCGTAAAGAATAATTATTATCTTACATAGATAAGAAGATAACACCGTGTATCCTAATAGTCCATTTAGCTTGATTTATTTCAGTGAAAGGCCAAAGGAAATATATCCTGGCATTCTTAACATATGACCAGTCATCCTTGCAGTGTCACTGCATGTTTGGGTGTTTTTTAGGTATAATATGGGCATGTGAGACTATAATAAAGGACTGTGAGATTATTTTTTTTTGCCATGATTATGGCTGTGATACTTGTACATATTTATTTAAGATGAATTAAGATGAGAAAATATATGCAGGAGATTTTTGCATTGTAGTTTTCTTGTCTTCAGGATTTTCCAAAATCAAGTGAAAAATACAGAAGCACGTACATCTTGCTGTTGTGAATTTTGTAAGGCAGGGAGGATTACTTCTACCATCCCTTGAGAACTATGTTGGTGCAGTACTGCCGTGTTGAACCACGTGGGTGGGTCTTAAATTCTGGAGATTGTGTGGTCACAATGTTCATTCATTCTCTCGGTAGGAAACAGCACTAGGTATGACCTCACCCCCGTCACGGCAGTCAGCGTTCATCTCCTCAACAGCGATGGGACTCCAATCCCCGTGAATGGCCCCATCTATGTAACAGTGCCTCTGCCAGCAAACAGCAACTTGAAGCACAATGCACACGTTCCAGCATGGAGGTTTGACCAAAAATTTGGTAGGTAACACCTAAGTGTGGTTTTCTAGATGGCTTCATTTGTCTGAAACTGATGTCTCACTGCATTTATTATGTTGATGTAGCAAGGTCTTCATTGGAGTGTAGAGAAACCTGTTTTCCGTCTAAAAGAAGACTGAGTTTTATTGATCAAGTAATATACAGTGTATATGCAGATATACTTGAGTAGCATTGCGTGCCACTTCTAGACAAATTTTTTTTGTAAATGTAATATTTTGCAATTATTAAATATTTTAGGTAGAAACTATCTTGAGAGAACTTCATTTCACCCAGAGACTGAGAAGCAGAGAGACTATTTTGCTGCGGCATTGAATTGGAAGTCTGGAGAAATGGAAACTAGCCTTATCTTTGCCAGCAGCAGCTCTCTGACCTTTGGTCCGTCTCTAGCTCAGTTTCCTGCCTGTCAGATAGGAAACATAATACCGACTTCTTTTGTAAATCACTTTGAGAATGACTGATGCTATCAAGAAGGAAAGTACATGTAAATGATTTCAAAAAAAAAAAGGCAAGCAAGCAAAATTCATGAAATATTTTGAAAGGACAGAATGACTAATCACTAATCAACATACGCTGTAAAATGCACTCAGTTTTTTACATTGCAGGATAACTTTTGCTATTGTGAACAGGATTTTTTTTCAGAAATAAGTGGTTTAGGCTCTCTATTTTTGTTTTGCCTTGTTTTTTTTCATTGCTAGTTGGTATACCTTGCTGGCTGCCTTTACACCTTCAAAGTGTAAAAAGATTAAGGGGTACATCAGTCTTGTCCTGTTGGTCCCCTTCAGTTATTCCACTGTGCCTTCTGAAGATGGTTGTTAAGAAAAAGAAGTAAAAAATGAAAAATGGAAGATGAGAAAGACAGAGACTGTGAGGAAGAGAGGAAGAAAAAGGATCCAGAAATGTGGATTTGTGTAGACGGCCAGTGGGGTTTTGTCCCCGCAAGGCAAATGTTTTGAGCCAGTTTATGATCATCCAGAAGTAGAACAACGAGCACGAAACCAGCGTATTGGAGGAAGGGGAAGGGAGAGGGGGTGAGAGAGGTGAAAGGGGAAATAACGTTTTTGCTTCCTTCCTGCCTCTGTTTGCTGAAAAAGGTGATGCATTTTCAAACAGCATGCCTGATAAATCTTTTATCAGAGGTTGGCTGTATTAGAGAGTAAAGCAATAGGATTTAATAAAGAATAAATTTTAATATGATACAAAATTGAATAGTAGAAAAAAAGTGCGATGAGTGGATTTGGGGTTTCCCTTAACTGTGGAAACATCAAGTTTTCTTGTGGTGCCCTGGCAGTAAGTTTCACTACATTCTTCCTGAAGCTGGCTTTGATTTGTGATTCTAGAAACTATTTTGTTTTCCCTTGTTCAAAAAAAAGATGGGGAAGACTGACTCATGTTTACTTTCTCCACCAGAAGCAGTTCATCCCCAACCCTTCCTCTCAGCTGTGTTATAGCTGCAGCCCACCTCGGTGCTGGTTACTCACTGCTAGTAAAATGGTTCTGATTTTGATTATGGAGCTTTCTCATTTATGGCCAAATTTCCATGCCCCTGTGGTGGGGCCACAAAACCTCTCTTTTACTGTGGAATATGGTTTTACTGTAGGATATAAAGAGCTGGTTACCCTGCTGTATGTAGTACGTATTAGTATAGATCAATACAGGTTAGTTAATTAGTGCTGCAGGCTTGTGGCTCCCAAATCTTGAGACAAGTTGAACCTTGTTTGCTTCATGACAAAATGCTGGAGCGTCTGTATTGTTGGGAGGGAAAGGCATGAGGACCACTAAACAAAAAGGGGTTTTGTCAGGCCACTTAGCTTCACCAAGCCATGGAGAGAAAGGTATCGAAGACGTTACGCTTAGGCTCCAGCTTGCACTTCAGCTGAAGTAAGCGTCTTTCCACGCAGCCAAAGATGTGGAACAAAGATGCATTTAAGCCCTGACTGCAGCGTGCCAGTTTGAGCAGAATTTTGGCCACATCCCAACCAATTTAAATTAGAGTAGCCTAATTTAATAAGTAGAGCAGCCACTCTATCTTGTGCGGGCTACATTAGCACCCTGAGGGCTGTCAAAGTAGCCATATGTAGCGCGAACATGGTGGTACCCTGTCATCCCCCATCCCTCTTGTGCTTGGACTACGAAGGGAGGAAGGAAGGATGATGGCTGGGATGGCTTCATGCTGGAGAAATCCTTAACTGGCAAATAAGTTGTTGTAACCCATATTTGCACTGCCAGATCTGTGCCTTGTCAGGATAAGCCCTCTAACCTCATTATTCTGATTTTGTCTTTCATTTCAGGAGCTGCTTTTTTCAGTGCTAGTTATGTTGCGGTCTCTCCTTAATAGATTTTCAGTGGCTTAAATTTTCACACTTGTGTATGAAAATTGAGTAATTGCCAGAGATGGAAAACTATGGCTGTATTGCCAGGCAATAATGCAGAGCTCCTCTCTGGCGTATTAGCAGTACAGTGGGCGCTTGTTCGTGCAAGCCATTGTTTTTGTTTAGAATCCATGTGGTTGTCATCATTACTGCATGAAGTGTAATTTCTGCTCTAAAAAGCAGAAATACTTTTCACTTTTAGGGGAGGGAGTGGAGAAGGGACAGAAATACTAGAAATATGTTTTAATCCTTAGAATCTCATACATTTTGCTGAGCTCATGATGTACTAATATAAACCCAGTGGCATCTGATTGGAAGTGTAGAGATTTTCATAGTTTCTACAGAAATTACGCGTATTTATGTATTACGTCAGCCAAAAAGAATTAATGACTTTTTAGGATGTTTACCAGAAACCATCTGTATTTTCATTACCACAGTTTCTGTCCTTGAGAGAGAACTGGGGAGCGAAGGGGGAGAAGCAGCATGGTCTACCTGAGGCTGAGGGTGACTCCACTGACACTGGTGAAACAGCCAGCCAGAAGAAGCAGGCAATCTGCTGCACCTGTTTTATACTGTTCCAAATGAGATTTTTCGTTATAAAACAGCCTTGCTGCCTTGCGTGCACAGCAAGCAAATTAAAGCAGTGATACCTTTTTGAATAATTAATAAAATGAAGAGCAACTATCCATGCCTTGGAGGAGTTTTAGGGTAAATGAATACGTCCAACCTTATTCTTGTGTTGGAGATTCACCCCACCACCCTTCTTTGCAGCATTTTCTTAGTGTCGGTGATAATAAGCACAGATGCATTGATGTTTTGGGAGATGTAGACACTAAAACGCAACATAGTCATTCCATGCTCATGCTGTTGACATACCCTCTCTCTTGTGTTTCACACAACTGTGGGAGGGTGGTTTTATTTCATAGTACACACTTAAAGGTTTGAACATAAGAGATACAGATTCTCATTTTTGTAATCAGGATTGCTCAGAGGGGCTTGCTGGGTTGTTGGCTTCTTTTTTCCCCAAGTGCTCTCTTGTTTTTCTCAAAATCTGAAGGGGCTGAAAAACTTTTTTTTGCTTTATCTGTAAACAGATGGTTGGGATCATGACTTCCTCCCTGTATATTTGCCTTGATGTCAGTAGGATTTACAGCAATATAATTAATCTCTCTATTCTTGGACACCAAGACTTCTTTCTGGCCTTGTCCTCTTCAGTCAGAAATGAATACTACAGATCCCAGTAGAAATGAAACTTTGTACCTCCTGTATCATTTCCAGCTCCCACCAGCTGGACTGAATAACACAGCACTTGCTGAGCTGTGCTCTCCTCAGCCCCCATTTAAATGGTTTACACTTTATTTTAAGGTGTCTGTTTTTCATTGGATTCAGCGAGCAAAACTGTAAGATGTTCTCCATTTTAAGTCCTCAGTTTCATCCCATGTGGTATGGAGGCATTATGTGGCACCTAGATGTCCAGATCCACATCTAGAGCTGTAAGAAGGACTTTAAAATGTTACCAAGTATTCCACAGCTCATAATATGGAAGTGGGATTTATGCTTAAGTGACAATATCGATGCATCTGCTAGTTTATTAACCCCACCAAATAACAGGAAAATATTTTCAACACCGTTTTCAGCCTTGTGTGGGAAAGGACTCTGGAGTGAAGGGGTTAAACCTCCACCCTTTTGCTCCTGCTCCTTAAAATGTGTTACTTCTTCTGCCCTAGTCGTAAATGAAGTTCAGAGTACTGTTTCTCTGTTCTTCCTCCTCCCCGAACCCTTGGTGTACATCTTTGACGTGACCTTGTTGTCTTTAAATTACTAGCTTCTTCGCAGAGGAGGATGTTTCCCCAGTGCCTGAAAACTCAACCATGTATTAATGTAAAGTGATGGCACAATATGGAGAAGAGTATCTTGGGGAACTCTCTTTATAGCTTTATAAAGCACAATACTTTATGTACTCTGCTGTGCTTGGTCAGTGCTTTCTGACTGCATTTAATGCCGTAATAGATTTCTAAATACATTTGAAAGTCTGGTACGTACTTCTTCTGGGTGACGTCCTGCCTTCAGTGGTAGAATTTCCATTGATTTTTGTAGAGTCAAGATTTCCTGATGTTCCTTCCTCAGCAAAATGAAGATAATGTTTTCTGTGCTCAAAAGAAGTCGTGAGGATATACTTAATGTATATCAGTATCGGTGCCTGCTTAAACTTGACTGCAGTATGGTTTTGCTGTATTTCATGGAGGTGAAATGATGCTTGGTTTTTGTTCATAGTGTTTGTAGGGAGAGAGCGACAGCTACTGTCAGGCAGAAAACGTAAGTGGGTTGCTGTACATCTGTCTAGTTCACGGCACGCTATTTGTAAATAACAGGATTTGTAAAAGTCTCTGATTTAAGCTTCCCCTGTGGGATCAACGATTATCTGCCCAAAGAAAAGATTGACTTATATTTTCGTAGTTTAAAAATAAAACACATTGCTTTTTGTTGTGAATTTGGTTAACTTCTGAGTGCCACCACATTCATACACTGTATGAGGGACAGAAAATAATCATGTAACAAAAACTTTTGCAGTCTGTTGCTTGATCAGACGCTGGGTATGAGTACATGCCTCTG